TGGCAGGGGGTCAGGCTAGATGATCTATTCAGGTCCCTCCTGACCCTAGCTACTATGAAACTACCTCCTCTCTAACCAAATTAAAAGTTGTGATGAGACAGAAGTGGTGGATAAGAATAAACTAACTGATCATGAATCCAATCAGATACAATCAGATGGAGTATAGTATAAATATATGTATAGACAGGACACTGCAACCCCAAACACGATTCTTCTATTGAAGTCAATGGGAGTTTTGTCAGAGGAGCGTAGCCTTACAAGACAAGGGCAGGTAGCTCATGATTTCACCTGAGATTTTGTTTCTGTGGTTTTGATGGTTTTCCCACTGCTTATGTCCCAGACACGTAAAAGCCCATCCTTCAATCCACCTCCAGTGGCAAGGATTTCAGACTGCCATGGACACCAGTTCATAGCCTGAAGAAAAGTAAATAGATGCCATGCTAAAACAGAATATTAAGGGAGATAGGAAATGTAATATATTTCCTTTAAAAATAACTTGGAGAAATGCAGTGCAACAAACAACACTCAACATACCTGCTTCTGTTCACTTCTTTTCCTTTTAGGCTAAGTACAGACAGTCAAAAAGCCCAAGGCTGAATCAGTTTAATCTTCGCAGGTTAGTCTAAACTGCATAGATTGACCCAATAAGCAAGTAAACAGACATTCACTTTTGATTCTGGAAATGCAGCCACCTGCCTGCAGTGGCCCAGGCCAGAAGCCAGTGGGCATTAGAGCAGGCCTCCCAGCCCACTAGCCACAGCTGAAGGGAAGGGAAGGAAGCTGGGAGGGAAGCCCTCAGAGTCTTTCTCCCAGCTCCCTGCTCGAGTGGAGAGGGTGGGCATGGCCAGGCCCTGGCCTGGCCTGCTGAGGATGGGGGGAGGGGGTTTAAACCCCCACCCTGGCCCACACCAACCCTAGCCAGGGTATGCCTGGAAGGCATGAGGGGTAGAGGGAAGCTCTCAGAGACTCTCTCCCCACCACTCAAACTGAGAGAGGAACATGGCCAGACCAGCATCTGGCCACACTCCCCCTCTCTGCATGAGTGGAGGGCTCCAAGGGCTTCCCCCCTTTCTGCTTCCCCCCACCAGACAGAACCAGGCTGGGGTTCAGTATTAGGGTCTTCCCACCACCCCCTTCTCTGCCAGCTGGAGCAGTGATATTGCCCTGATTATGGAGCAGAGCGGGGAGGCAGACACTGCTCTGCTGGAGCAGACAGAACAGCGTGGGGATGCAAAGCATCGTGGGATGTTGGGGGACTGTGAGTTAGTTTGAATAGGGAGGAGATCTGGGACAGAAGTTCCATAAACTGGTTTGACCTAAATCAGTTAAGTCTGATACTACCTCCAACCAGGTTTATCATAAACTGGTTTCAGCCATTTTGAAAACAGTTTATGTGCACTGAACTTCTGTTTTATTACAGGTTTAAACTAGATTCTGATCACTTAAACTGGGTTATGTGTAACTTCTGCCCCTAGCCTTACTCTACCCACATGCGCACATATTATCACATGCACCCATTTCCAGGGAAGCTATAAAATGTAGGATTCTTCAGTTCCAACATCTGCTCAAACTTCAATTACTATTGCTTCATAGTGGCCTATCCTACCTCCAGATACACTCATAAAATTCAGGTTTCCCCTAGCTTCTCCCTTGTGTATCAAGGTGCTTAGTTTTCAAGAGTACACTAGCATTATAGTTACAAGGGATTAGGAAGGGCAAGCAGGATAAAAATGCTTGTAAGGACAGAAATGTATTCCACCCATGTAACATCTGGATAGTCAGATTTTATAGAATGTAACTTGGAAAGAAATATCCACCTCCACACACACACACTCCCTCAGGCTGCAACCATACAGCCCTCAGTGCCAGGAGTAATATGGCCACCAGATCCACATAAGCATGCATCTGTGCCCTCCTTGCATCCCACTCTTAAGCTGACTTTCTTGCCTGCTCCCCTGTAGGTGAGTGTTAAAACTATGCCAGAAATGGAAACAAACTCCTGAGAAATCAAAGCATCATTGACTCACTTGGACTTTAGAATAATACAGTATTAGAATGGACCAGAAACTAACTTCAGTCCATAGTGGCCATGTCTACACAAGCAGCGGACTGCACAGTTGTTACTACCAGTGTTACTGCACAGTACCATCACTGCACATTTTTTCCAATGATACTGCACAGTAGCTTGTTACTACTGCACAGTATTGTCACCACAGTTAATGCCCAGCAATGTTATTGCATGGTAACAACAAGCTACCTGCACAGTAGCATCTCATATAGATGTGCCCTCTGAGTAGCAAAAACTAGGAAGGCTCACTGAGATTACCCTAAAAGTCTGAAGACCATTGAAAGTTGTGCCATTTTATTTTGCTGGCCTTTTGACATATCTTCCATCACCAATAAATATAGCACATAAATGCATATAGATAAAATACTGTCCTTTGTATCAAATATACTATTTATGTAAAATAATAGAGCACTTGTACCTTTACTGCTGAGGGATGGGGCATAGTTTGCACTGGCTTGCAATGCACTGTTGCTCCAGGATCACTAGGCCAAATATTCAATATGCCATCACTGGACCCACTTGCCAGCAGCTTGTTGTTTAGGGACCATTTCAGGCTGCAAATGCTCTGCTTGTTTTGACAAAGAGTCCCTACATGGTGTTGAGCAACCCGCACATCATGATGATGAACAAATCCTAATCTTGAACCACTGCTGAGGCAAAATGAGAGCATCATTTAACAAGCTACAATTCAGAAGTGTGGAAATTCACGTTTTTAGTGGTTGCAGCAGCAAACCACAGCAGTGATAGAATGCACATAAAATAACAAGATTTCAAATAAAGAGCAAAAACTAAGACAATTATTAACGACACTCAGATTTTAATGCTTTCCAGCAATGGAACAAGGCCAAGCATCCCTGTCTAGTCCAAGGTGGGCAGATGAACTATTCTCTATTACACATTCTACTTCCCTGAAGCTGTGTTTTAGTATATTGCTACTGATTTGCCCCCTGTTCAGATTTAAACCATTGACATGTAATTGCTACTGTTTTCTCTCATAAAAGCACTCAGGCATTTTTCCCTGTGAAATTTTGCCCAAGTCATTTGTGGCATTGTTTTGATTCCCAAATAAGGGACACTAAATATTTGCTTTGCTCTTGGAAAATACTTACTACCAAGTCACAATCTGTCCCCCATCATTTCCAGGTTGTGAGGAAATCAAGCCAGTCCTACATTTGCCATAGCCTCCTTCCCCTGCCAGGCTGGCTAAGCTGCACTGACTGATATATTGCAGAATAGATCTAAGGCCCCACATTCTCCTAGTCCTTGACTGACTATTGTATGAGGTCAATAATGGTCCCTGGATTTGCATTTTCCTCCCTTTCGGGTGTGCACAATGCACACATATAGACCAAAATATAGTCCTTTTAATCCCCTATTACACTGACTGACAGCTTAGCTAGGGTCTGACATTAGTTCTTGGTGGTACAATCATTACATATCTCTAGAACAACTACTGAATTAAATATTGATAATGCTTTCTTGCCTAGTCCTCTAGAAAAACTCTACCCATGTCAAATCTGTGGCAGAATGAGGGAGCCGCCACAGGCATAAACCATTCTGTCACCTGGACCAATGATAACTTGCTTTACAAGGTAACACCAGACATCTGATATTACAATAGGTTTGGTAGTACAATTACTACAGCAAACTTTCCCATTGAGTATATTAGAAAAATTGATTTGTGTCATGTTCTTATTTCAGAATTAGTTTTTATGCTCAGATTTTTCATGTAAAAGTGCCTAGTATCCTCTTCTTCACATGAATGTCAAAAAGAAATCAGGGCTGTACTTGGTAGCTGTGTTGGTCTGAGACAAAAAGACATACAAAAAACTAGAACTCTTGGTTCCAAAATGATACCTCTTATTAGACCAACAGGAAAATGGCAAGAAAACTGTCCTTTTCTGCAAGCTTTTGGGATCAAAGTCCCTTTGTCAGGCTCTGGGAAAAGTGTAGATGGTACAAGATGGTAAAAGTCCCCATAGGTAGGAAATAAATTTCATTTTTGCACAGAGGGAGCTGAAGATGGAAGGCTGTCCCTCTGGGTCCATAAGAACAGCTTTGTGAGCTGTGTTGAGTAGCTCTTTGATGTGTTGATCAGGTAGAATTCCTTCCCTGGAGGTGTCAGATGGCAGGCAGGGAGGTAACAAAAACTTCCTTGTTGTTCTGCAATGAAGTTTAAAATCCAAAATCTAAAAAAGAAATCAGTGAATTGCAAGGCAGAGAGTGCCTTTCATTAGCTTGCATTCTGTTGACTTACTAAATTCTTCAGAGGCCTAAGTGCATCCAGAAAACGCAAAGCCAAGCCACCAGTTAGCGTTAACTCACATCTTAAGGAAACAGCAGATTTCTTTTTATCATAGCATATACTGAGCATACATCATCATGCACAACGCTCTCTCTCTACATTAGGAACTTCAGTCTCATGAATAATTTCCCGCTAACTGATAGAAGAGTACTCCTAGAGATGTATTTTAACCAAGAGAAATAGCATCAAATTGCTAATTTTAGTTAATATGGGTGTTGAACTCTCGTGTCATTTTCTATTCAGAGATACAAGATCTCCGTTTCATCTGCATACTAAGATGAAATGCAAACAGAAACTAGTGAATATAGTACTGGCAGGCGAGGCTGATCATCAGCTTTGCAGGACTCACCAGGTCTACTACAATCAACTGTTAGAAATATTTTCTTCTGAAATCAAAACCACAAAGCTCTCTAGAACGTGTGCCTACTCAGGCAGAGAAGAAAGTTTCATTCTGAGTTTCATCACAGAGCTCAAGGGTCTAAAACAAGTTTGAATTAGGTTCAGCTCTTATTTCTCTGTTTACCAAAATTATTGGGATTTTACAAGGCTTTGAAATGGAAACTTCAGGCAACACTAACCATGACACTAAGTGTAATGATAGTTTTTTTGCTTCATTATTTGGTGCCCAATAAAATGAACTGGGAACAGATAAAGGAGCAGACTGTTAGTCCAAAATGGCTACACAAAGCATACACAATCTATCTCAGCTGAATCCCCTTATTGAAATGATGCTTTGATACATAGGTTCCCCAACACGTGCAAATAAAGGCATGACTGGATCTGATATGTGATTCACACAATCATGCCTCCTGCCATGCTATGCAGGAAGCATGACTGTGGGATTGCACATTAGATCCAATCGCACCTTACTGTCAGTATAGTGGGAGCCTGACCCTGGGCTCCCCATGTAGTGGTAAGAAGCAGGTTCCCACAGCTGGGAGCCCCTTTGCTGGGGGGGCCAGCAGCCATGGGGGCCATGTATAGCTGGGGCCAAGAGATCCCATCAGTTGTGGGGCTCTCAGTCCAGTTTGCATGTGAGGCACAGCCAGACAGAGAGCCCCATATGGGCCTGGGAATTTGATGCACCCCCAAGCCTTGAGGATCATACCTGCACAACAGGTACGCTTCCCTCCCCACACATAAGGAGGCTCCGATGGTGACTCCAGAAGAAGAGGAAGGTAAGCAGCTTGCTGCCATCCCTAAGAGGAGGTGCAAGGTGGTGGTGGTGGGGGACTCCCTCCTGTGGAGCTCGGTGGGACCCATCCCTAGCCCGTGAGGTCTGCTGCCTCCCAGGGGCTCACATCTGAGATGTAGCAGAGAGGATCCCCAGGCTCATCTGGCCCTCTGACTACTACCCCATGCTCCTCATCCATGTGGGAACTAATGACATGGCCAGGAGTAATCCAGACTGGGTCATGAGTGACTACAGGGCTCTGGAAGCTGGGTTCAAGGGGTTGGGGGCCCAGGTAGTCTTTTTTTCTGTGCTCCCTGCTGCAGGCTGCAGTCCCAGAAGAGAAGGATGCATCGAGGAAATGAACCAGCTACCATGACGCTGGTGCCACTGAGAAGGCTTCAGATTCCTTGACCACAGCACACACTTCAAGGAGAGAGGGTTCCTGGGAAGTGATGGCATCCACCTCATGAGAAAAGGTAAGTCCCTGTTCATGGCCAGGATGGCCGATCTTCTGGACAGGGCTTTAAACTAAGATTGCTGAGGGACAGGGATACACAGATTCAAACATGTCCAGGGACCAACATACAAGTAAGCCCTGTATATAAGGACTCTGGGAGAGCCACTCTTGTGGGATCTGTGGGAATAGCTCCCACAAGAGTAGCTCCCATCAGTGAGACAGGAAGACGAGGGCCTCAGTAGGGGGACTCAGGTGCCTATATACTAACGCCAGGAGCATGGGGAACAAGCAGGAGGAGCTAGCCCTCCTACTCAGTGGGCATTATGATCTAGTAGGGATTATGGAGACTTGGTGGGACTCCTCATACGACTGGAGTGCAGCTATAGAGGGCTACACCCTGCATAGAAGGGACCAGGTGGGAAAGAAAGGTGGTGGCGTTGCTCTCTATGTGAAAAAGCAGTATACCTCCTTGGAGGCTGACATTGGCTCCAAAAATGAACAGCTTGAAACCCTCTGGGTTAAGTTGCAGTGGGGGGAGACATGGCAAGAGAGACCTAACTGTAGGTGTATACTACAGACCACCAAACCAGGGGGAGGAACTTGATCTAGAGTTCACCCGAGAATTGACAGAGGCTGCACGTGCATGTGACATGATCATCGTGGGCGATTTTAATTATCCAGACATCTCCTGGGAGGAACACTCAGCCAAGTTGGATCAGTCACAATCCTTCCTGACCTGTGTCAAGTAGCTCTTCCTGATTCAGGAGGTGCATGGGCCAACCAGAGGTGATGCTTTGCTAGATTTGTTCCTGGCCAAACGAGACAACCTGGTGACCGACTTAAATATAGAGGGAAGTCTAGGCAACAGAGACCATGCAACCATAATGTTCACTGTCCAATGTAAGGCAGCAGAACCAGGGACCAAAGGCGAAAGGTGTGACTGAAGAGTGGTTGTTCCTTAAGGACACAATCCTTGAAGCACAAAGGAAGTCCACTCCCATGCAGAGGAAAGGTAACAGAAGGGCTGGGAAGCCCTCTTGGCTAAACAGGGAAATCACGGTCCTCTTAAGAAAGAAGAAAGAGGCTTATAAACAATGGAAGCTTGGGATAGGCCCCAAGGAGGACTATTCCATGATAGCCCACATTTGCAGGGAACAGATAAGAAAGGCTAAAGCAGCAACCAAACTTAGATTAGCAGCAGGAAAGAAGTCCTTCTTTAGGTACATAGGGAACAGGAGGAGAACAAATGGGAGTGTGGGGCAATTGTTCAACAACTCAGGATAGCTGGTTACTGGCATCCAGGAGAAAGCTGAACTCCTGAATGACTACTTTGCATCAGTCTTTCACCGGACCAAGGGGAAAACAATGCCAGGTAGAGTATAGGATAAGCACGGTAGGAATAATTGCCTTCCTACTATTGCCATAAAATTAAACATATACGAGTCAGCGGGACCAGATGATCTTCATCCAAAAGTGCTGAAGTTGCTGGATGAAGTCATTGCGGAAATCCTGGCGCAACTCTTTCATGACTCCTAGCGCTCTGGATAAGTCCCTGAGGACTGGAAGAGGGCCAATGTTATGCCCATCCACAAGAAGGGCCAGAGGGAGGACCCAGGTAACTATAGGCCAATCAGCCTAACTTTCATCCTAGGGAAAATCCTAGAAAAGTTCATCGCAGGCAGGTCTTGCCTTACCAGCCTCATCTCCTTTTATGACCAGATAACTCACCACCTGGACACAAGACAGCAGGTTGACATTGTATACCTTGACTTCCAAAAGGCCTTTGATCTAGTATCCCACGATGTCCTCGCAAGAAAATTGGAGGATTGTGGACTTAACTCTGAGACAGTCAGGTGGGTGAGAAACTGGCTGCAGGATAGAACCCAGAGAGCCATAGTGAATGGATCTGTGTCATCCTGGTGAGAAGTGGGCAGCAGAGTCCAGCAGGGGTCAGTGCTTGGTCCAATACTTTTCAACATCTTTATTAACGATTTGGATGTGGGGGTGAAAAGTTCACTGGCCAACATCACGGATGACACCAAGTTATGGGGAAGTGTGGTCATGCTTGAAGATAGGCTACAGATACAGGTGGACCCAGACAGGCTAGCAAGTTGGGCAGATCAGAACCTGATGGCATTCAATGTCAATAAATGTAAAGTGCTCCACCTCAGGACAAGCAACCCCCAACACACCTACAGGCTTGGCAGCACCAAACTGACTAGCACCATGAATGAAAGGGATCTGGGGGTAATAATAGACCAAAGTATAAACATGAGCCGGCAGTGTGATGCTATAGCCAGTAGAGTAAATAATACTCTGGAATGCATCAATCAATGCATCTGCAGCAAAACCAAGGAGGTGATTCGTCTGCTCTACTCAGCACTGGTGAGACCTGCATCCAGTTCTGGGCACCACACTTTAACAAGGACATGGACAAGCTTGATAGAGTCCAAAGAAGAGCCACCCATATGATCAGTCTTACATGGCAAGCAATATGAGGAAAAGCTGAGGAGGCTGGGACTCTTCAACCTGAAGAAAAGAAGGCTGAGAGGGGACCTGGTAGCAGCATACCACTACACTAGGGGTGTACATCAAGGGCTTGGTGAGCAACTGTTCACCAGGGCACCGGAAGGAAAAACTAGGAGTAATGGCCACAAACTCCTAGATGATCAATTCAGGCTCAACATTAGGAAAAACTTCTTCACAGTCAGGATGCCCAGACTGTGGAATAATCTTCCTCCAGAGGTGGTGCAATCACCTACCCTGGAAATCTTCAAAAGGAAACTAGACAGTCACCTTGCTGGGGTCACCTGCCCCCCAGTTATCTTTCTGGCTTGGTGCAGGGGGCTGGACCCAATGATTTTCTAAGGTCCCTTCCGGCCTTACAATCTATGAATCTATGATCCCAGCAGCCACGATCCACAGGACTTGGGGGTTTCATGCTGGGCAAGGTGCACCCCTGCAGCTGGAATCCCTGGCAGCAGCAGGAGAGACCCTGCTACACATGAAAATTAAAGTTCAATAGCAACCAGCTATGAAGTTAGTACACATATTTGAGGTCTAACTTTATAGCTGGTTGGAGCTTTTTATTGTGTGACAGCTACTTTGCACATGTAGCTGGTCTTAAGGTAACTGCAGAAATAACCAGTTAATTGTGCAATACCTGTAACATGTACAGGGGGCCATAGGGTGAGGCAACTGGAATGAAATTCAGCCCTGTGCAGAGCACTAGCAGAAAACAATCAAACACTTTTATACACTTTGAGCCCTTAAAACGGGTTTATGTGGTGCATGAAAGAATTGTGTTGGCATTCTGCACAGAAGTAAATTCACCTCATGATATCATAGAGACATGGCCAAGCAGAGATAGGTGGAGAACTAGCCCAGGTCTTATGAGGGAACTTATCACCAGGGTATCTGAGATAATAGGTACATACATAAATAAGTAAAAGAGAATGTGCATTTTTTCACCAAAAACAAAGAAATCCTCTAAAGTATATGTGACTTTTGCCTGAATAAATGCTGTGCAAAAATTAATATATTTTACTACTTACCTGCTAAGTATATAATGATTCCAGCTCATGGCTCCAACTACAGAAAGGTGACCAACCATGTTTCTCAACCTCTTTTTGGTTTCAATGTCCCACAACTAACCAAACAAAACAAAACAAAGTGGGTTAATTATTTTTTATAATAATAATTGTCCACCATTTATCATTAATTTGATGTAATCCTGATGTTTAAAAGCCAATACCTGAAGTTTATTAATTGAAGTATTGTGCTTTAAGGCCAACACTTCCAAACTCTGGTGCTAAATCACTGTTGCAGAAATCAAGAAGAGCTGCAGGTGTTAAGTAACTCTACAAAGAAAGCCATTTATTTAGGGATTTGAAGATCCATGATTATTAGTTTATTGACTTCTAAGCAGAGCTGATTCCTGCACTATACAAAAATCTCATCCAGGTTTCTCCCAACTTTCTGGACAACTATATTGGACTTTATTAGTAGACATTGGAGCTTTATATGTGAAGGAACAGCAGAATACCAGAGAGAAAATCTGCTAGATGGGTCATATAGGATAATTTCAACCTGGCTGCTAATAGCAAATGTGATTACAGCAAGCCATCACATGGCAGGCTACTGGAAAGTACAGTTAAAAACCATGCATGGTGAGGGAAATAGTTGTATTCAGGGGTTTCACTTAATGGTAGCAAGATTTCTGACTGACTGTGGTGACTATTATTTATCTAGTCATTAGTCTTTAAGTGACTCCAAGAGCCTCAGTACATTTAGGTAATAATGGGTAACACCCATGCATTTGGCAAAGTGCAACACTGCATTATGGGGGATGCTATGAATCTGTCTCCAAATATGTGTGAAAACTTCTAAAGTAAGAAAAAATAAGTGATATGAATGTCTTGTGGCCACTATATCTAAACCTGAACAAGAATAGGAACGTAAATTATCCAGGACCTGAACTTCCCCATCGCTAGTACCAACAGCAAGACAAGTTCCTTCTTTTATCCAAGCAATAGATGAAATGTACTTTGCACTGGAATTTAAATCAATGCTTTCAATGCTTTGGTGGGTTTCTCCATTCCAGATGTATGCACAAGATCCTAGAGCAACAGCAATGAGATTTTCACGGTTCCAGTCCAGTGTGTTTAGGTCTAGAAGAAAGCTACTTAACATTACTACAGTAAAGTTAAAAGAGATAATATTTAATTATGGAGCAAATTGTATTGTTATTTAATTGGAATACTAACAAGGAAAAAACAAATAAGGTTACTTAGGTGAACCACGCTCTTACCACATCAACCTTTATGAACTAGTATATTATTTAACTGTAAAGAAGTATTGAACTTAATATTTCTGCTGCTGTCATTCATTAGACTCATTAAGCCTGTCATTCAGGGTGACAGAAGTGATATTTGCTGTGCCATTGGCCCCTAAAAAGCACACTACAACTGTGCCTTGACCAGTGGCATAACAAGGCGGGTGGGGGGCATGCACCTGGCTGTAAAGCACTTTAAAAGTGCCCAATTGCACAGCAAATAAACCCTTATTTAATAAAGGTTCAAATGAAGGCACTCCAAAGCAAAGTGCCTTCATTAACTTCTGTTTGTCCCTGTGCAGGATCAGGGCTGGGTTGATGCAGCCCAGCCCTGTCCCTGGTGCTGTCATCAGGATGGGAGGGAGAGAAGACAGGGGAGGGAGGTCCATTCTGGAGTTTGCCCAGCCTGCACTGGAGGTGGGGCATAGGTGGATTGGAGGTGGATTCACCCATCCCCACCCTGGCACAAGCTGGGCAAACCCCAGAATGGAGCTCCCTCCCCTGCCTTCTCCCCCTGTCATACTGACAACAGCAACAGAGCTGGGGGGGGAGCGGCAGGGGCAGGGGAGAGAGGCTGCAGACACTGGATCAGTTCCAAAGTGGAGCTCAATACTCCCCTGCCCCCCAACCAAACAGCAAGTGTTTGGGGGGTTGCTGTAACTCATGGAGCTTTCTGGGAAGTACCATGAGTTACAGTGGAGGGCTACACATCTGTCAGTATCCTCAATTACTCTGCCATTACCATATAACCCAGCACTAATCATGATTCCATGTATACCTTTGTTTGAAAGCTATTAGTAGCAGTAGTATTAGAAGAGGTAAATAGGTATATAGTAAACTCTGGTTAATTCCCAGTGCTAGGGGAATTGCAGATAAATGCTGAATTATTCAGTGGGACCAATTATCAAGAATTATTAGGAATAATGGGAGGAGGAAATGGAGGTTGGCAGAAAATGGGAACAATCACAAATTAAACCATAGTAAAGAATTATCCCATAGGCAGATTGCCTTATTTACTCAAATATAAGGCAAGCCTAATTATAAGGTGACTCCCCCTCCCCCAATAAGTAGATCCTATATGTGGAAAAATTATAAATTTGATATAATTGTCCATAGTCATGTAATTTGTGGTGATGGGGGATTGCTCTTGGGCTCTCCCTCTAGCTTACTCCTATGCCCTTTTGGCTAGGGACAAGCAAGACTAGGTGACATCAGAACCCCAAGGCCTCTGGGCTTAGGGCTGGCACATAGTATGTCTGCCATAGATCTGAGAGTATCTGAAGCCCTGACTAAAGAATATGGGACATAGGATACTTGCTGGTGGTAGCACCACACAGATTTGAATGACTGAGCTCTGTTCAGTCAATAGAATTTGGAACTGATGGCTAATTTGGCCTGAGACACAAAATTATAAAGTTGTTTAAATGCAGGCAACACTGAGCATGATTATACAAACACATGCACACACACACACACACACATATGTGTATATGTGTATATATGTATATGTATGTGTATATATATAGTCATGCTCAGTGTTGCCTGCATTTAAACAACTTCATAGTTGTGTACCATTACTGAGCACATGTTGGTTTTAGCAGCAGTTCAAAGATAGGCAATGTATTTAATGTTTTTCCTTATATGGAAATGTAAGACGAGGGACTTTTCCCCCCCATGTTGGCTCGGAGAGGATCTTATCTTATAGTTGAATAAATATGATAAACATAGTTTATGTATTACTATATTGTCCATAGGCCTCAGTTGGGATTGGGGTGCTACTGCACTGAGCACATCACAGGCACAGAAAGAAACAAATTTCTGCCTTCCTGTTTGTTCTGGGTATCCAAGATTCACCCTTCTATACAATACAAAAAATGCAAGGGAAAATCAATTAAAAGGGCTTCCCTCATGGTAGAACTCCATAGGTCTTGTGTGGTATTTGGGCTGTATTATGACCCCCCCCCCCCCCCCCCCCTCCCATTTTAAAAGTTCCCACTTTCTGCTACATGTTCAGCCTTTGAAGCTGAAGAGAAGAGTAGCTTACAGTAATCATTGCGGAAACCAGTAATATGAAACCTGACTTCTGGCTCCAGTGGCAGGAAAGGTTCAGTGTCAAGAGAAACTCTGTGAAGAGTAAATTCATTCTGGATTCCATCTTGGCAACCTGCATATAAAAATTCAAAGTATATGATTCACTTTTAATGAAATGCCACTAATTTCCCTTAGACAAAATCTCTTTTTATTCTAAATATCAATGCGTGGCCATGGCTCATAGGAGGGACAGAGCAAACCAAGCACAGGTTATGGCAGCCCTGATGCTACTATAACTTACCTTGGGATATGGCAGGCCCATAACCAGGCCCAAAATATGACAAGCCTAAAATAGATGAAAGCTACTCTTTCTTCACTCATCCCTACAAGGAGTGCACATCAGCCAGAACAGAGTCAGCCCTGCTATATTTCATTTCAGATAGATGTTACTGAAGGTGACCGCTGAGTTTTTCCCCCACTTTGGTTTTCTGTCAAAAGGCCTCAGAAGGTTGCTTAGATGCTCTGTTACCTCAAAACCTAAAATGTATCAGTTAACTTGGCTTCTTAATAAACACTGCTATTTGGTTTTAAGTTCCCATCAAACAAGTTTCCCCCTCAACAAAAGAACCACAGAAAAGACTTTTGACATCACACCAGGCTTTGATATTTTTCATCACGCCACTTTAGTTATGCGAAGGTGAAGAAGCGAGAAGCAGAAGAGAAACGGCAGTAAAATGCAAGCATGAGCAAGCAGATCAGTCAGCCTTGTGGTCATTATCTGCATTCTGTGGTTAAGACCCCAAGCACTGCAGCAAAGAGCTAGAATAATAGCAACAAGATTTTCTTTCTATGAGTAAGAAATTACCTTGTAGTAATGTTCAGAGAACGCTGAACTGGGAATTTGTTTTTGTGCCCTTTCCCTTTGTGTTTTAACTTTTACATAAAACTCATTAAAATAAACAAAGAGCAACTGCTCCAAAGCATACAAAAGGAAAATATTTTACAAGCAAACTAATGCATACACTGTCAAAAATAAACCTTTATTATCATATGGTCTTTCAGTCTGTCATGTAGCTATAACCTGCATGCACACATACAAGTGTGAAGAGTTTTCAGTGTAGAGGTCTTTCCTGTGGTAAGTGGCAAATCATTAATTTATTATGCACTTTGAGCAGTTCTCCAGCTGTACCCCAACATCCCTCTCCTCAAGATTCATTCCAGCACGCCGAAAGAAATGCCTTCTTCTCTTTCAATAGTAAAAGTCTACTTTTACATTTGAAAACTATATTTGTCTGAGGCCAAAGATGAGCTAGAATTGACCCTGGGCCAGTAACTTTTTCAGTCCATAAAATGTTGGCACTTTCAAGTCCTGTAGCTCTGAAGGAATTACTAGAAAGGGTTTTCCAGCTGCCCAGTGGGACATGCAACACACAATTACAACCTTAGATGGACCAAGTTAATTAATGATAAAGATGTAGAATTTGATGGCATAGAAAAATCATTTAGGTTCTTTTTACAGCTCTGTATGAACTCCTTCTGATCCCGGTTCAGTTTAACTAGTGAAAACTATGGAACCTCATGTTACTAATGGAGGAATAAAATAAAACAAAATAAAATGCTCACAAGAAAAATGTAAAGATTCTCCCAAAGATCCTTAAAATACCTCTCTTCTGTAACAAATGTAGCATATACAGAGTACAGGACAGTGCAATCTGTTACAAGGGATGGGATGAGATATTTAACCCACCTGAGGGGGTTTTTTGTTCCAAAATGAAGCCTGGAAAACCACAGTGTACTAATGCATTCCATCAGTGTATACGGAGGTGTTAAGTACATGGGGCAGCGGGTGGGCTGAAGGTTGGGAGTGAGGATACCAGCATGGTCTGGTGGGCCCGGCACTGAGAGTCGGAAGGGCAGGAGGGGCTGCAACTTGGGAGTCAGGGGCAGGGCACAGGCATATCACTGCCCCCCTCCCCCCCCGCCAAACAAGTATCCTCTTTTTTGAAACTGGAAATATGATAACTCTATGAAAGCAAAACATTCACGTAATTGCCTCAAACTGTGATTGCCTCAATGATGACAATAATGGACTTATAACTACAACTGCCCAACTGCATTGATAACCACAACTGAGAATTCAAAACCCTATATTTTTGAAGGCACATGGAGTTGTTGCAGCATAGAGAGTTGTTTCTGTCTGTGGCATTACCAAGTGTCTGTGTTTGTATGGAAAGCTGCGGAGGCAGAGGAATTCTTGTTGCTCTGGTGCCTGGCAGATGTTATTTCCATCAAGCAATAGGTAATATTGCTGGATGGAAACTGTCATGTCATATAACCTGATTCTTATTCAGGCAGTCTATCCAGAGGGGAGAAAATGCCCTGGGGACTTGCTCTGCCAGCAATCACCAGCAAAGGGAGCTGGAGAACTGCTGGCAGAAGCTGTCATTCCCCCATCTTCAGCTATGCTGCTAATGAGAAGTGAGCGCTGAGCAATACAGCTGAGCTCCCCCCTGGGTGGAGGAGCTGCTCCCCTGACCCGTGCACAGAGCAGGAGAGACCCATGTGAAGAGAGGCAGAAGATTGGAGTTCAAACTCTCCTAGGACACCTTGCTTCTGTGTATGTGCTTTTCCTCTCTCTTTTTCTTGTCCTGCT